ACACACACATTTGTAGTTCTGCTACAAAATAGAACACCATTTTTCTGTCTCTCGTACACATCTGCGGCAAATATTACAGCGTAACTGTATGCACCGTAAACATAAATGTATAGAATTGAACAACAAGAATTACATTAACATCAAAATGATACTTCAGCAAAGAGCTGGAACTGTTTTATAATAATGTTCAATATATACACATAAGATTAAGGTCTCAGTTGCATTCCAATCTGAAATTATTGCACAGTAAGCCGCTGTTGGCTCATTATGGTCACCTCCATACAGTCTTGTATAAAAATAGAACAACAATAACACACCAAACAAGTCTTCATTTTTCAAATAATTTGACAGGCACTACCGTTGCCAACCCCGCCTGAGTCTACAAACATAAACTTTGGGCCACAGTGTGAGCTTTCGGAGTGTCTCATGACAGTAACTGCCCCTAAGCACAGTCAATGTTTTCCAGATTCTCCTCTTCCTCGTGTGTGCTCCTCTGCAATGACAAATGGAAATCTTCCCACTGACCACTTCCTCTCTCTACATCTCTCAAACTTGTCTTCTCCTCCAGGACTTCGTCTAGGTTCAAACAATAGGTATTTTTTGGCATTTCTCTTCACCACTGACCCAGAGCTTTGGCACTCTATAGAGTCCAAGATGAGCATGACGAGATTTCAGAAGAACACAGTGCCTCTCTCACATACTCCAAACTGGCTCATAAAGCAGACAGTTTCTCTTGAAAAACAGTGAGAGTGAGTACAAGTGTGAGCATCACAACAAGGGGTTCATTTAGACGATTGTTTCCACACCAATCAGCTTTGGTGTAAGAATTCGTGGTGTTATTCCATTGTTGAGATCCTCCTCAAATTCCAACAGCTGTCCCATGAAGTTGAGGTTTGGGGAGATGATGGGCCTCCTGGTTTTGACAAACTTGTAAGCGTCTGTCATGGTCATCCAGGTGTGCTTCATCAGGTAGGCAATCACAATGGTGGCTGAACGAGATACGCCTGCCTGGCAGTGGATCAGAAGGCCCATACCTGCTTGGTGTGCTTCCTCTGCAGAAAGGAACATGGAAACAGTTACAGCACAACATAATAATCCTTCGTTTCCTGTGAGGAAGTTCAGTCATCACACATACTATGATATTAAAACTTAGTTTTTGACCAGGCATTGTTTTGATATTGTCCAAAATGAATATGCAAGTATTGGAAACTGTCATGCACCAAAAAGAATTTGAATACTTGACCAGAGTATGTTTTATGCATGGGTTAAGTCTACTCCTAAATTAAAAGACTAAGACTAGGCTTAATCCATTTTTGGGAAAGTGGCTATTGCCTAAAACTGGATACATGAGATTGGCTGCTTGTGTTTAGACAACAATCAACAATTCTTTCTTCTTTTTTTTTCCTTTTTAACAAGAAAAATATGTTTGCATTCCAGAAAGTAAGGTATTCAAACAATACATGGGCCTTCATCGATACATTCTCTATTCATGTCCTATCTAATCGTGTCAAGCGTTATGCAGATTGTCAACATATGCATCTGATTCACAGACAGACATAACAAAATACTAACACGGACTATTACAATTTTCATTTGAGCTGAGCAGAGTTTTTTGTTTTTGTTTTTTTTTTTTTTGATAGTGAAAATACACCTATGCAAACTAAGGAACAAGAGTTGTGCCTTCTTTCCCTCTGGAAACAATGATAGTTCACCAGATGTCCATATCTGTGTTGATACAGACTATTTGACTGATCCACTTTAAAAACACTTTCTTCATCAACAACACTACAAAAAAAGGTGATTATTCTATCACTGAGCACCACAGTGATCTATGGTTTCATGTTACCTTACATAAAAAACATTCTGAATGACTTCTCTGCAGTAAGATTTTTATTTTGAGAAAAAGAGACTGTAGGATCTTGGTGTTGTATAGATATCCTGATATGAGGAATCAGGATCAGGGGCAAGAACAAAGAAAATATATCCCTAACCATTATGCATGAGTAGTTTTTAAGACTGATACTTAAATCTAAGACTCAATAAAGGCTAAAACTATATGTCTTTTAATTTTGTTCCACAAATCAAGAATTTCAGAGTAATGTTAATCGCCACAGCCTGAGTTGTCTGTAAATTCAAAAGCATACGGCAGCTGTACTCAGAGCATGTAAGGGTAAGCAGCTATAAACATGTCATTTATATCAGTGTCATGATTCTTCCTTCCTGAACGAGAAAGTGGCAGGTTTCATACCAATAAATTCAAACGCCTCCTCAAAATACTGGCGCAGGTTCTGCTTGTTGCTGTCAGTGGCGGGCAGGCGCTTGTAGATGAAGAGCCCCGTTTCGTAGTGATACAGTGGCAGGTGGGTGGTCACATTTAGGATGTAGCCGATGTTCAAGCGCTGCAGCAGGTTAATGTCCTGAGCATCTTGCTCATTCCCCAGATAGAGAAAGGGAAGGATTGGTGTCAGCTCGGCATTCTCTATGTCTGGGGTGGTGGGCAGGGAGTGAGGTAGAACCCCTGTCATGCCAGCAGCTGCACCTGTGTCCAAGCCCTCATGAAGGTGCAGTGAGTGCTCACACAGGTTTTCGTGGCTCTGCCTAAAGCAGCTAAGGCCTCCTGTGGATACAAAGAGAAAGACTGTGATATGAACTCAAAGTGCATCATCACTACAATTTGGTACACTTTGTGATCCATTGACAGGCTAAAGAGCTCAAAATGTATAAATATTTCCTTGTTTATTTTATTTTCATTTTTGCTACTCCATCTTCTTTCTGAAGACAAACTGGACATCTTTGTCTCAGTGGATAGAGCATCGAGCTAACTGAGCACGGGATAATGCTTCAATTCCCATTGGAACCCTGCAGTCCAAAAGCTACATGTGATCATGTCTCTGAGCACCACATGGCACATGTTACAACTGAGCAGGACAATGAAACTTTGCATACATGTCTGATAAGTTTAACAACAACTAAATTTTAAGAGCTTTGAACCCCTAAACATTACAGCAACTTTCAATCCCTAACTACCCTTTTACATTTTGTTTTGATTTGAATGCCTCCATTTGGATTAGTATGGAGGGGATCAACGTCTAATCAGCTGATCAACTTCTTTTGCGATCCAGAGAAAAATCCAAAGGAGCACGTAAGATAGTTTTGACTGGCTCATGTAGACAGTCACATCTGTGTACTTATTCTGTAGGTAGACAGATGTACTGAATGGTAAATAGACTTTTCACTGCACCTGTGCACATCTCCAAACAACTGGTTTGCACCTGTTCACACCAGTAAATTCAAATTCATGGTTTGCACATCTGTGTGCACAGGCCAACTGTGTATGACTGTGTATGAGGTTCTGTTCATCTTTCAATGGAGCTGTGCTGGTCTGTTATGCAGCCTGTTGCATTTCCCTTCATATCGAACAAAGAAAAACACATAAGAAAACAACAGCTGCTTATAGATCGTATCGGTGATTATTCCTGATGTGATGGGCAGAGGATTTCTGGAGAAAAAAGTACCACCTACTGTGTTTGGGCTTCATCGATGAAAGCATGTACAAACAAAGCTTCTCTAATGTCCAGCAGCAACTAATTTAGTGAAAACCGTTTAATAATAAATTCTAAAGGTGTGGTTGACCAAGAACTTCCTCGTACAGTCTCTCCTTATACAAAACATTTGATTAAGCAGCGCTTGTTTTCCTGTCATATGCGCAGTCAGTGTGCTGGTAGTGTAGACGGTCCATGCAGACCCTCGCAGACTTGAGGGATGACAACAATGATGCTACACATGCTTAATTCAAAGCATGAAATAGCCTTAATGCTACCAGCCAAAGTTTCCCTTCAGCATTTGAAGGGGGACGAAATATTAGTTCATGTATTGTTCACAATGCAAGAGCTGACATCATGCCATGTGAGGTCATCGGACCATCTCACAACTTCACTGTGGTGGGAACCTCCTGGTAAATGCTGGACAGTATGAAACAATGCAACAACTGTTCACCATCAACAGAGACATTAGTTCAAACACATTATTGTGATAGTGACCAAGTTATAATGGGGTTTGTTTGTTGTGCGAGCAAATCGTTGGATTTTTACAGATATCACTTTTGTTTCTATTAACCTGATAAATGTCCAATTAGCCCAATCGCTGTTTTTTTTTTTGCTGCTAAAGGAAACATCTGGCTCTTTAGCTGCTGAATGCCAACATTTTCTGTGCTTGCAAAATTGTTTAAAAAGTCTTCAGCCACGACATCACAGTCACTCTTAGGCTATTTGTAATGCACTTCAATATTCATGAAATGCCACATTTAGAACTGTAGCCTGAACAATGTAGGATTTTTATATTATATATGTCGGGATTAAAACTGAACCAAAACATGCCATTATAGTAAAAAACTGAAAAATAACTATGTATACTCTACATCTGTTCTCAGCTCTAGAGACCATTTTAGCTTCTTTTTGCTCATTGTTTTGCTGTTATTATAGTTTTATTGTTGTTCTGCAGCAGAAGCCGTTTTCCATAAAAAGCTCCAATGAACAAAACAGAACAGTACAGTGCAGTACAGCAGAAGCAAAGCGAAATGGAGATTAAATATTTGCATATTTATTAACTTAGAAACACAAATTCTCAGCTGGATATATAATTAGGGGCTGCAAGGTGGTACAGTTGGTGGCACTATTGCCTCGCAGCAAGAAGGTCGCCGGTTCGCATCCCTGTGAGGACACCCGGGATCTTTCTGCGTGGAGTTTGCATGTTCTCCCCGTGCAGCGTGGGTTCTCTCCGGGTTCTCCAGCTTCCTCCCACACAGTCCGAGAACATGTTGAGGTTAATTGGTGATTTTAAATTGTCCATAGGTGTGAATGTGAGTGTGCTTGGTTGTCTGTCTCTAAGTGTAGCCCTGTGATAGACTGGTTACCTGTCCAGGGTGTCCCCTGCCTTCGCCCTAAGTCGGTCGCGACCCTAGTGAGGATTAAGCGGTGTATAGATAATGGATGGATGGATATATAATTAGGTAAATGTGTGCTAACATATTAGGCCATAACAACTTCAAAAGCTGACAATATTTCTGAGTTGTATTTACAACTTTTGCCTAAAATTTAGCTGATGTATATGTGAGTATATTTTGCCCAATATGATTGTTTTCTGGAAACCCATCACTGATATTACACATGTCCTGAGCAGCCAGTTAAAAAAAATTAACCCTGATCTGTGGTATACAACAACGTAATGGAGACACGTTTTGTTTTTTGTTTTTTGTTTTTTTTTAAATACATCAAAATCAAACATAATCTGTGGCACAACTCTACTGCAGTTTGTTATCTCATCACCCAACAGATATGCTTACACCAATATTGTGACACTTATCTGCAATTATATATTCGGAAACTAACATCATTTGGTTAGCACACACAAATAGTGTAGCAGCTAAGCTAGCCACACAGTAAACAAATAAACCTGGTTTGGCTCACACTGAACCAGCACTGTTTCAGTGTGAGCCAAACTCAACTGATTTGTAACACTTTTCATCGTTAACTGAGAATATCGGCAGAAAGCTCCAGAAGCAGCATGTTGTTGTGCACTGAAATATGTTGAGTGTGACCAAAAATATGGGAATTTTCACTTCACTGCTTCACTCTCAAAAGCCACTGGCACACAGTTCCTGTTAGAAAGTGTCGCTTCTGCCTCACAAGGCCTCCTACACCAGAGACATGCTGTTTTCAGCCCTAACTTTTAACCTTCCAGCACAACTGCCATGTTATTTATGGCAATTCTGACAGATCAAATGCAACCTATTACTGGTCTTAGCTGAAGCAGGGGTGAGATGGACGATTCTGTGTTTCCACTCAAGTGGAGCGTCACACCACCACCACATTTATTATAACTCATGACTAAGACATGCTGGTAACACACTAAATACTGGCAGCAGCATACCAACATGCGTGTTCCAGATTTGTCACTATTACTACTGCTTGTAGCAAATGTGTACCTTTAATCAGCACTACATTTAGAAAGCATCAAGAAGAGGATTGCAAGTATTAAACATGTACTAAACAGGTTCAGGTTTATGATTAAATATCAGCCACTGGATCATACATTAATTTAGGCTGCAATCAAAGCTGTAAATGTAAAAGAAATGGGAGAAACTGGTCATCTCTGGTAACAAAAAAAAAAAAAGATAAAGCCTGGGCCATTTGATCCCCTCAGCAGAGAGAATGGCTTGCATTTTGCCGGAATTAAACTGGGGGAAGAAGTTCGCTTGTT